CTTTGAACAAGCAGGACTTGTTCCACTACATCCATGTAGACATGCACTATAGGGGTGTTGATATACAAAAGGTGCATTCTAACAATAAAGGGAGTCTTACATCATCAGATAGAGAAATCAAAACTTAACGGTAACACTTCCAGAACAGCCAAAAGAAATTGTGATTTTGGATTTTCACACACCAGAGACATCATCCCTGGTCACACACTTCAACCTGCCCCCCCCCCCCAAAAAAATAAATAAATACCCATTGACTATAAAACATACATGTAAGAGGAGAGGAGAGGAGATCCAATAATGTGAGTTCCACATCAGAACTCCTCAACCCCTGTACAGTTTGCCTGGCTTGGCCGAGAGGAGCCCTCGTCAGCCCTCGATCGTCACAATCATTGTCATTCTAATCCAATAGAAATAAATAACAAAATCATGCCCTCATATCGCCCTATGTAAAAAGGTGCCAGTTGAACATGTCAGGGTTTCTCTCTCATTTTTATTTGTTTTGCTCCATTTTATTTAGTCTGCACTCTTTGTAACAGGAATTCCAAGGTTGGGTTCCTTTGCACAATCACTGTCAACTTGCAGAATTTTGTTTTTGTGCCATTGAAGCATTTCAAACACAATTGTATGAAAGTGACTCATGCATGCAAAGGAGGTTTATTACACGAGAAAGCATTATATTCTGGGGAGCTTTAGATATGTTGAAGTTTGATACGTGTACAACTACTATAGACTACCAGTAGTACAGGTACTACAGGCATTTAGACCAAGTGAGACAAACTTTGCCCAATGAGTGCAGTTCAATTTTCATTTGTGATTTATTCATTGTATTTTTTAAATGTGGCCCTTGGTTAATGAGGAGTTTTCTTGCCTTACTACATGTGTAAAGCTAGAGCTCCTCCTTTTTCTGAAAAATCAACTTTGGCACCATTTTATGAAACTGTCATAAAGACAAGTTAGTTGACATCACATTGAAATGTATGTTAATTGTAATATACACATTTCATGTCAGCGAACCTGTACTTGACGGTTTTGTGCATGTCAATGCCCTGCTTCCCCCTTTTTGCAGAAATATTAAAAATATTCATATTGATGTAACAACAAAATGGTTAAGCCAAGATGGTAATTGGATACCATCTTGTAGTGTTAACAAGTTGCGCAAGAGAATGCTGCCTTAGAAGTGCTGGGTAGGGAAAGTACAATATCTTGACATTAGACATTCAAATGATTACCGGTAAATTGCCTAATTACCGGTATCTAAATGACACCTCAATCATTTTCCTCAAAATCAAAGCATTATTTCTCATTCTTACTCCAAAGGATCTAGTAGCTAGTGACATGGTTCCCCTTGCTTGTTGCAAATTAACTGACCAGCAGAAATGATTTCATTTCAGCTTTACAATATGGTATCCTTGAATAGGCAAGTACATGTATGAGATCGATATCCCCTGTGTAAGATGATATCTCAAGATTGTCAGCCTGTAGAATTGTATCATTGTTCTTTGACATGCATTTCTACTCTAGCCAGAATCATGTGATTAGTAATTGATGCGTTTTAAACTCTTGCTGCTTTTATTTTCAGTTTCGGTCTATTTTTTATGTAGATGATTAATGATATACTAATAAATAATCTATTTTTCATCAAAGATAGTTCTGTAAGTCGGTAAATGTGGATCAGCTGATACTTATTTGCTGTGAATATGATTTATTAGCATGATAGTATATATGTTATACACTTGAAGTTGGATACAAACTGCCTGTGTTTGCTTTCTTCTGTACAATGCACTCCAGAGGCCCTGGTCACTAGACCATTTGAATGGGGGTGTGGATGCCAGACCTTATTTGCTAACAATTAGCCCTCAAGCTAAAAATCAAATAATAACTAATGATCATATTTCATTAAAAAATCTGCAAACAAGGAAATAAAAGCTTTCATGCCCTAGAATTTGCTGATAGTATATAATATTTTGTAAGAGCCCACCCCGCCTCCGAGATGCCTCCTGCACTATTCCACTTGATGTGAACTGGGCAAAATGCGACTTTGCTGTAGTAAGCTCTCATTCTTAATCATTTTAAATAATTATTTCAAGCTTTTTTGTGGCTGTAAACTAGATAATTCTCCAACAAAGGTACTTTTAAACCATCATCAATAAATGTTAAAATAGCTGGTCTTGAAATAAAGAAAGATAACAGGGACAGTTTTTTGTTGTTGGTGGGGGGAGGGGGGGGGGTTAGAAATGTGTCCTAAATTATGCCTCACATTTTTTTCTTATCACAAATTTTGAATGCTCCCCACCAGCAAGAGAATCCAAGATCCACCACTGATGGTCATTTATTTTTTGTTGAATGATAAAGTGTCAAGAAGTAATTTAGTAGTCCCAAGATTAACCAGTAAACACCTCTTCTTTGTAAGTTAACTGGTTGTGGAAATATTGAAATGTAGAGACTACATACATAGTACATCATTGTAATCTGAAATGTACATGTTTGGTGCTTGGTGCCCAGAGTTTATGACTCGAGTTCATTACCTGGCTTCTCAAGTATTCATTTATGTCTAGTACTCAAATAGTAACTAAGGAGATCAGCTTGCACCAAGGTAAAGGGTAAACATAACGAGTAGCTACCAAATAGGGACTAATAAACCCCCCATTTAGACAAACCAGAATTCATCGTATTAGTAGCTATACAATGAGTAATTACCTTTTATCGTCTGAATGTGTATAAAGAAACATATATTGAAACGCCATTATTATAGAAATGTGTGCTTGAGCATTTTTTTATAATAAAAACTTGATTAAGCATCAGTGTCCTATTCTAGTCTAAATGTCATATTATAGGTAAATCGTAAAACTGGGCGGGGCTAATTGTGAGCGTGCACTGATGATTGGCCAAGTAATATGTTAACTGACATCTTAAAACTAGTTCCTTTATATGATGTACATTCTTGTGTGCATGCCCCTTTTGCTATACAATGATTCTTTATTGGAGTTTCATGTCAATTTGGGTTGTCTGAACAGGCTATTATTTGCAACAGAAAGCCTGGTGAATAGTTTGGTATTTTAATGTCCTCTGAACCTTGGACCTACTTCCCTCATCAGTGACGAAATTAAATTCCTGGTAGATTAATCACTATTATTGTTAAAAAGGCAACAAAGGCTGACCAATTATTTATTTTAGGTAGGGATATGATATAAGACTGGAAGAAGTTTGTGAAAATGGTAAAATAAAATCCAAGATGGTAACAGTAAGAAGGATATAATGTTGGCATTTTTCTAGCCTGCCCAAGATAAAAAAAAAATTATGTCAGATTATAGGCCTACATGAACACGCACCATGTAAGTAAAATGGTTGTTATGATAATTTGTTTTGATAGTCCCCTCAAGTGCAAGAAATACTAGGGATTTCTATTTTAACACAGTATACAATTATCTTTGCCTTCATCTTTCAACAACTGCATGATTACTCTACCAGTTCATTTTTTATTTCCTCCTGTCAAATTGTTGTTACATATGTAGTACTTAAAAAGTGAATTAAAAAAATGATTGGGACTACAAAATCAAAGAATAGCAGTGAATACAAACATACTAAAGCCTTTCGTCTTTCACTCATCGGATTAGATCTCAAGAAGGATCAAAAGGTGAATTACATGTAGTACTGCTTAGTAATGTCTTTTTAACATGTAGGTGGGACCTAACCTGTATTGGTTTGACACTCTGCTGGTATTATGTCTAGATTCTTTGGCTGGAAGACTACCAATTATTGGGTAACTAACTACACCCAAAGAAAACTTTGCCAGGCCAGACATTCTTTCATTTGTTGACTTGGACGGCGGGACAAGGATGGCTTCATATCATAAACGGAAAAACTATTGGTGCATGAAATCACTTTAGGCATTAGGAATGTCAAATAAAGTTCAATCTAATACAATTTACAGTAGAAAAATAGTAATCTTTATGTTGTCAAGGAGATCACTGCCCTGACATGTAGACTGTAATTTTCTTTTAATTATTTACTATTTTGGCATGTTTAACATTCCTGCCCTATTGAAATAAAGTGTTTGTAAACAATATTTTTGTGATTCAATGAAAAGCCTGGGTCAATTCAATTTCTGTTAGCAGTGTGTTTACATAAAGTGTGTGAGCTGAAGCTTCCTGGCTCTGGCCTTGATCAAGTGATTAGGGTTCTATATGACTGTCTCCCTCTCTTGGCCAATTGCAGTATACTCAGCTCCAAATGGAAATGCATGAAAATTAAATGTTCTGTTCAATGTAGAGGTGATAAATCCATTAACAGTGGACCAAATTTAGTAGGGTGCTTTATATGATTGTCTCCCTCTCTTGACCAATTGAAGTATACTCAGCTTTAAAAGGAAATGCATGGAAAATAAATGTTCTGGTCAATGTAGATGAGATAAAACCATAAACAGTGGACCAAAATGTTTAATATTTTCACCCTTCTCATTACCGGTAGCTTATACTAATGGTTTATGGATGTTCATACAATACACTTGATGTTTTTAGCATGGCTCATCAAACTCCTTGACAAATATGAAAGATTTGATAAACATGAGAGAATTTGAATTTGAATTTTTTTAGTCCCCCAAGTTATCCAAGTTTTTAAATTAAAGTTTATACCGGAATACACAACTAACATTAATGGATTTGCTATCTCATAATATGATCCATAAGTGGCACATTCATGTGAAATGTTTATGAAAGAATACTGTATTTCTATAATATAGTGAGAAAAGTGCTACAAATTTTCATTGCATATTACCTTGACAAAGACGGTCAAACCAACCGATGGAACAGAGAAAGTGGCCACTGCAGACAGGTGGTCTTTCTAAACAGGTTCTAAAACAAACATTCCTCTCTTGAAATGCACAGCCACGCTAACCATGTTTAGCTGCAGTATGGATGAATATAGTTTTGTTGTTGTTTTCATATATATATTTCAATATTTAGTAATAACAATTGTTCTTTTTCTCTTCTTTTCAATTACAGAGTGTGCAAGTTTAGAGTGAGCATGGCAGCCATCTTGGATGGTCAATTCTTTGATTTCAGCATGGGGCCATCAGATAAAACTTACCAGGTGATAATTTCAAATGATTACATATGTGCAAATCCTGATCTTTCCTAAATTTGAAGTTCATATGTCTCTCAATCAAGGATAAAACTACCGGTAATTTTGATTGATAATAAACTCTTAGACTAACATTAGGGTCTGTGTCACTTTTAAGCCTTTGTCCATGTGTTTATAATTGATGAAATAGATTTGTGACGATTTGATTGATTTTAGATGACAAATAAGAGTCTTTTTCCTATAGCGGCCACTCCTTTCTAATTCCAAATCCAAATCTTGTATCTTACTTGTCATCTCCTAACAAAGGAGTAAGCAGCAAATAAGAATTTAAAAATTACTGGAAAATAAAAAATTACAGGTAGATGTCTAATGTATGTCAAATTTCTGTCTAACAAATTGTTCATTAAGAACAAGTAGGTTTGTTGTGTAATTCTTTCTTATTCCCCCCCCCCCCCCCCTCTCTCTCTCTCTCTCTCTATTCCCGTGGTGATTCACTGCAGCATAGTCTTTGTTACTCTGCCAGCACAGACTCTAAAAGGATAATTCAACTTAATGTATTATAGCCTTACCTAACTCCCACTTTTGGCTGAGCAAAGCCTTTTTGTTGTTGTTGTTGTTTTGGTTTATAGGCGTTTGTCATTCAGAAGTGAATATTTACGCCAAGTGTGCAGTCAGTAGTCTTAATTTAGACCACGTTATTTGTTTTGAATGACAAGGTTTTGTGCCTGCAATCTAAGTCTATGTAGGCATTTTAATGAGCCACTTGCCGTTTCTATGAACGTCCTTTAGAAAATCTTTTCAAACCATTGTGATAATCTCTTGACTTATTGTCTATTCTCGTCTGCAGTCTTCCAGTAGTCCAGCAGTCATTGTCCAGATCAACGATGTCTTGCTTACACCAAGCGAGCTCCTGTCACCAACCGCTTTGGAATACCTTGCTGAGGAGATCGAGATCAACACCATCGATGAGTTAGCTGGAATCATAGACAGACATGATTGTGAGTTATTTATTGAGTAACAAGCCGATTTTAGATGGTCAATTTAAGAAGCATATCATTGGATGAGAAATTTAACAATTTAAGAAGCATATCATAGGATGAGAAATTTAACAATTTAAGAAGCATATCATAGGATGAGAAATTTAACAATTTAAGAAGCATATCATAGGATGAGAAATTTAACAATTTAAGAAGCATATCATAGGATGAGAAATTTAACACCACTTGAAAAGAAACTTTGGTATACATGTTATTTTTGTACAATTTTCATGTCTTGAAAACCAAAGGGCATATTTTCATATCCTTTGAACCGTAGTCAACAATTTTCATGTTTTCAATAATTTACAATGCAGAAAAAAAATAAGTCAAAGTGTACTTTTGAAGTTTTTACTAGTTCAAAAAGTTAGATTTAATATCATGGAATATGCTTTAGGAATTGCTCATTCGAAATTGTTCATTTGAAGTAAAATGTATGAATGATTGCTACTCTAACATCACCATCTAGCCCGAACATGAACCATAATGATTTATACGATAACACAAGGGAAAGTCTAAAGTACTCCTAAGCTTTTCTATTTCGGAGGGGCACTGCAGCCATGAAGCATGACAGGACAACGAAATGTCATCAGTAGCAGATCTAGGAATCTTGGGGGGGGGGGGGGGAGCAAAGCAGAAGAAAAAAATCTCTTTCAAGCAAAAGATGAATGAAACAGAACTGAATATATGAAGAAAAACGTCAAAAGAAACCTCCACCAAGAACTAACTTTAGTTATTCTGAGAGATTTATTGCATTCTTGCCTATTAATCTACAAGATTCCTCACCAAAGTGTATGAGAGAGGTATAAACTGAGCATAATCTAAGTTTCTCAACATGACATCTCCATTTTCTTGATAATGTGACGTACTATGCAAAGTCATTTATCAAGTAAATTTATTCAAATTTATGGATGCTTCCTTCCCACATGTGTGTGCGGTCTCAGAACGCAAATGTCAAATTGAGTTGTTGCTCTTCTGGGGCAAAGTTTTTGCATTTAATGTAATAGATTTGTCAAATGCTATATTTCAGTATTCTTAAATGAGTTACTATTGTTCCCTGTTATACATTTATATTTTTTCGCCACATATTGTTTCATTTTTTTGTGAAGAAATTTTGGGCTTGCACCAAGTAGATAAAGATCACGTGGAACCTGCCATCTACTGCTTGCCGGCCATAACTGGTCCATATCATAGTCATGATAAACTAGAAACCAATATACCTTTTCTCCCGGCTCATTCTGACTTATTAATATTCATCAGTCCGCCATTAGGACAATAACTGTGAATGTTAGACTTTCTGGAGAAGTTTCAATTGTCGTAAAGTAATGTTTTGGCTTGCACCCAGTAGATAAAGAGTGCATGCTCGACCTTGTAATTGAAAACAAGTCAGACAAATATTTGAACCTGCCTCTATGGCTTGCCAGGCAACAACTCTACCACCAGAGGTGGTATTCTGAACATTGTTGTAAGTTTTGTGTTATCTTTTGTTGTATCTTCTAGAGATAACACAGCGCTAATATTGTTGTAAGTTGGTATTCTGAAAATCATTTTATCCCTGTGTTATCTCTTGAAGGACCGCCTCTATCTTATCTTTGGCATGCCAATTTTTATGGACCCTATCAATCAAGATCTATTTTATATAAGCATTAGTAGGTCGACCAATAGGAGTACTTTATGCCATACTGAAGATGCGCCCAGCAGGCACGTAGCCACGGGGGGGGGGGGGGGGGGGGGGGGGGGCACATGCCTCCCAAAAATGTCCAACATCAGTTGAACTTTTTTAGACCCCTCCCCAGAACGTCGATCAATTACATGTATGTGCCCCCACCCCCAAACATCAAACTCTGGCTATGGCCCTGGCACCCAGCGGATACTAATCTTGGGCGTAATTAGTTAACTGAGCTCTTATTATGCACGTCATCATATGCGCTGTGACACGTGAATCATGAAGACAAGTCACGCTTTTACTTATTGCAATTAAGAAACATCACACATAAATTGTCATATCCTAGCATGTAATTTCTTCGAAAGTTTTCATCTGTGATGTCTCCAGTCAACCATGGAGTTACTAGCTAGTAACTCCATGGGTCAACACACAACTCGCCTATTGGCACAGAGTTGGTTCTGGGCAAGGAAGATTGCCCCCATTATATCACCACAAAAGATACAACTCCCTACCCATTGTAAATATTGTTGTTAATACTATGGAAGATAAGATAAGATAAAAGATGCAACAATTTTTAGAATACCAATTATCTTGTCATATTATTTCTCTTGCGCATATGCAAATGAGGATTGAGCGCCACCTTATAATAATATGCATAATTACAAGCACACAAAAGTTTGAGCGCAGGCGCTGCCAAAGAGATGAGACAAAATATACAACAAAAGTTACAACAATTTTCAGAATACCAACTTTATCTTATCTTCGAAGATACAACAAATATTAGAGATAACACAGGGTTCAGAATACAGCCCCATCACTGGTCCAAGGCACAGTCACAATGAACTGGAAACAAATACCTTAGCTCTCCTGAATCAGCTGTAATTCCCCCCATTGAAAAGTAAAGGATTTGTTATTATTGAACTAAATAGTCTTTCAAAAAAGAGCTTGGTGCATGATTCCTTTTACAAGTTCGGTTGGTACATCACATTAGGGACTTTTAGATATGCACGAAGACAATAGGTCTATGCTACGATCGATGTCCTTTTAATGCACTGCCTTGAACGGACGTCACACGTATCAGTCCATGCAAATCTAAAAGTCCCTATTATCAAGAGTGGCTGCGCCCATGTCATGCTTAAAAGACATCATGCCAAGAATATTTTCATTTATATTGTATCTCTTGTACATTTTTGTAAGGAATATTGTACATCAATAGGCAAGAATAAAACTCATCTTTCAGCATACCTACACTTAATCGTTGGGTTGAGGTAATCTAGGCCATGATACATGGGGGGGGGGGGTCTTCAATTTCTCTGACAAGCACTGATTCTTAGGACTTTGAAAAGTTTGAATGATTTGATGCTAGTATTTCTGTATCCTTTTAAGGGAAGAAAAACAAAAGTGTACTTCAGTCTTCAAATAACATTTTAAAGTCATGATTCATAATTAAACTTGATGTATTCTAATTGCCCTTGTAAAATACTGGACTTTATATATATATACATGAGTTTCCATAGATCTTATAAAGATATGTGATTGATCATTTGAATTGATCAGTCAAAACTCTGTACATAGGAAATAGAAGTAATCTGCAATTGATTGAATGATTTTTTTTTCAAATATAAAAGGGGACCTTGATGTCCACATGTCTGTTAGCTTTATTCAGCTTTTTAGTTTTTCTACCTAGATTAGTTAGGACAAATATAATTTCTAATATTTGAATTCAGAGTGAATAATAGTGATGATCATGAGTCCATGAAGTAGTCCTAAAATAAATGCTGGTGGACTTCTCAAGCACTTTGAAATGACTACATATTATATGTATTCAGGCATCCATCACTTCATGCTCAAGTGGTCAGGTGTAATTTCTATTTTAGAGAAAAGAGATCGTTACTTAATGAAGGGTCACTGAAACTAGAAAGTTTATATTCAGGCTAGAGATGTCGGTTCAATGGCAAAAATTAACCCAAATGCAACTTCTTCTTGTGCCTTCTTTCACTTTAACCCATTCTCCAGCCTGCTCCCATCACTTGCATCTTGCCTTCCAAGTAAGACCCTCTCTGTGGGTTCAGTTTCACCCCTCCTGGCATGACCACGTTTCACAGATTACCTCCTGGCCACCCTGCATCCATCTCTCGTACTCAAACCCCCGCATCCACCTCCTTCTTTCATCTCCCACATCCACCTCCTACTTTCATCTCCCGCATCTATCTTCTGCATTCATCTTCTGCATCCATCATCAACATCCATCACTTGCAACCATCTCTCACATCTATCTCCTACATCTTTCTCTCAATCTGTCTCCTGCATCACTGTCCAGCATCCATCTCCCACATCACTGTCCCACATCCATCTCCTACACCACTGTCCCACATCCATCTCCCACATCACTGTCCCGCATCCATCTCCCACATCACTGTCACGCATCTATCTCCTACATCACTCTCACGCATCCATCTCCCACATTACTGTCTCACATCCATCTCCCACACCATTGTCCCACATCTATCTCCCACACCATTGTCCCACATATATATATTCATTTCCCACATCACTGTCCCGCATCTATCTCCTACATCTATCTCCCACATCTATCTCCCACATCACTGTACTGCATCCATCTGCCACATCACTGTCCCGCATCAATCTCCAACTCCATTGTCCCGCATCATTGTTCCACATATATCTCCCATCACTGCATCTCTGCATGCCCCGCACATATTCATCTCCCACATCCATCTCCAATACCAATGTCCAACATATTCATCTCAAACACCACTGTCCCGCATCTATCTCTCACATCCATCTCCCACATCACTGTCCCACATCCATCTCCCACATCATTCTCACGCATCCATCTCTCACATCCATCTCCCACATCACTGTCCCACATCTGTCTCCCACACCACTGTCCCGCATCCATCTCCCACATCACTGTCCTGCATCCATCTCCCATACCACTGTCCAACATATTCATCTCCCACATCACTCTCACACATTTATCTCCTACATCTATCTCCCACATCATTGTCCCGCATCCGTCTCCCACATCACTCTCACGCATCTATCTCCTACATCTATCTCCCACATCCATCTTCCACATCACTCTTCCACATCTATCTCCCACATCACTGTCCCGCATCCATCTCCCACATCACTCTCACGCATCTATCTCCCACATCACTTTCCCGCATCAATCTCCCACACCATTGTCCCACATCAATCTCCCACATCTATCTCCCACATCACTGTCCCGCATCCATCTCCCACATCTATCTCCCACATCACTGTCCGCGCA